GCACAGTACTTATTACGTCGTCATTCCATAGGTCATCAATGATCGGCGCAGTAAGGTTGATTTCAGACGTTGACAATGTCTAGCAAGTATGCTTTTTAGCTGATCTATTGCTAGCATTTTAATAGTATATGAAAATGAAAATCTAATCTGATCCCACAAAGTGATATTCAGTTTAATTTATTAAATTAATATTGAGCCTGAATTAAGATAACTATATTTTAGGTGGAGACTGTATTTGAAGATTTATACTTGCTAATAGGAATAAAAGCTTTGGTAATTAATATTAAGATATAGTCTAAAGATGCTGATGCAAACCTACAACTTTTAAAACATGATGTTAGACAGGTTGTAAATAATAATTCTGGTAATGAAAAAATTATAGGGAAAAGGATTGAGACAGAATTAGAAGAAGTTGATATTGAAAGCCTTGGATTTGACCATACTATATGTTCTGAAGTTCTAGATGTTAAACCAAAATCTTTCACAAAGATGCCTGGGTTATTTTGCAATATTTTTAAGGAACCTTTTGAGAAATACAAGCTAGATCATAATAATATGATAATAGATACTTGTAGAAAAATTATCTATAATGAGGAATAAAGATAAATTTGGATGAAGATTTGAATGATGTTAAATTTGAAGAATGGTTATATAGCTCTAAGAGGCTTCAAGAAATGATAAGACAAATACTAGAATTTTTGTAAGTTCGCTTGAGTTTTATTCACCATATTCTGCCTTTTAATATATGTTAGCTTATAGTATAAATAATGAAATGGGTAGGATCTTTTATAGGTTTAAAGTTTAGAAGTCATTTAAGTATAAAGCTTTTACAAAAAAGAGGAAACCGATTAATAAAGGGTTATATGTCTGTGAAGTATTTGCACTATTAATAAATAAAATAATAAGGGAATTGCCTGGAAACCCTGCTGTATGGGATATATAGTAAGTACTACTTTTAGTATCAACTATAAAATAACTCTGTAATGCTATTTTTTCTTATTTAATAATTTTCTAAAATAGGGGTAAAGAGAGAAGTTTGGCTAGTACTGTATGAAAAGGATCTCGTAAATTTGCACAGAAATCTGATTATATGACTATAGTGCAACTAGAGAAAGATGTAGAGTTTAAAGTTGTATACCTTGAAACTAGCAGGCCAGATTCCAGTCAAGCCAAATGCCAGCAAGACCACAAAAAATTAGTACAATTTTCTAAAGATTCTATTAACACTACTAGAAAAATATTAAAGCTTAAAAGAATATTTAATATTTCATCTAAGAGATAGATGTTATCTATATTTACTATAAATATTGCAGTTAATGCATTATGCGAAAGCATCTATGACTATTTTTTTTTCATATTTCACTCTTGAATTATAAATCAATAATTCTTAACCACATTGCTTTCAAATATTTTAGGCAATGTTATAGAACTATAAGTCATGCGTAGAGAATCCGGTATTTACAAATACTGTCTAATAGAGAAAGTACTAATTCCACTACATATGACTTCTCCAAGTGCTATATACCCTCTTATCCATACTTTAATGATATTAAGAATGGCTATCACAAGCATAATTCATAAAATATTGCATAATACTGATTCTGAAAATAGTGAATATAGTTCTGGTGAAATGACAATAACTGTTTTGACTCACAAAAATCCATAAAATAGAAATCTATTTTTATATGTAATTTTATATACTCTGTGACTAAGGCTTATGGTTAGTGTATAATAATAAAAAATATTTTCTAAACAAATGTGATAACTCAGTTTTCATGTCATGTGATAAGTGATTTTTAATAGATAATGAAATATCATTCTATACTTGGATTCATTAACATTCACAATGATATTTTTTACTATATCAATAAAGTATCCTGATGGTAGATTTCATAAATATACATATTTTATTTCTTAACAATTTTCTGAGACAGCCCATTTCAGAAATTTGGTGATACTATAACCTATTATTTTTCTTGGCAATTTTTAGCCAGGCATCAGATCAAAATCATGTATTTATTTATTTTGAATATTTCATATTTTTGTATAAAATTTATTGATATGTCTAACACACAATCCAATGATTCATTAAAGGAATTAAATGCCAAGCTCTTAGTTGAAATTGACAAATTTAAAAAGAGATTTGCTAAGATTAAAGTCAAGAATAATAAGTTTGGGGCTGAGAAAGTTGAGCTTAAGACCAGAGTTGCTGAACTTTTAAGATAGTCTGCTGAAGAGAATAAGATACATGATACTAAGATTAAGGAATTAGAGCAAAAAAATATAGAGCTTGAAGTCAGACTTGCAATAGTGGAACAGGGTTCCTTGATGGTAAGTAAAAAACCTCAGAATGATAAGAAAATGATACCAGAGGTAGAGGTATCAGCTGTTGTTATACCCAATTCTCAAGAAGTTCAGTGAACTGGCTCACATAGTAAGCTTGATTATAAAATAAATAGTGATGTACCTGATGTACCTACCAATTCTAAGAGATTAAATAATGTAAATACAAATGTTTTCTTAGATAAGTTATATAAAAAAGGTTAGTAATGAGATTAGGCAATATAATAGGGCAGTGATGTACGCTTGGAAGATTAGAAGCATCTTTGAAAGCACTTTTGGAAGGTTTGAAAGCATAATTTATTAATAAAATTATTTGGATTGGAAGCTTCCAATCAAATTTTCTACTATGTGAAGCATAAAAAGCACATCACTATAATAGGAAGAAGAAACTTAGCAAAGTAGAGCAAGTATCTCTTAACCAAGATCAAGAATCAACCCCAAAAGAACCATTTAATACTAGATGTTTTACTTCTGAAAAGTTATCAGTAATACCCAATCCTGTAATTAAAATTTCAGCCAATACATTTCTGCCAAAAAATAGTTATAGAAAAAAAGGTGCAAAAAATATTTCTCAAATGATATCTAATGGTATTCAAAGTGATACACAGTCTTAAAAATGTATTCTTAGTTCTTCTAAGTATATATTATTACAACAGAATCGAATTTCTTTTACAGTACCACTGCTTACTTTAGCTCAATTATTTGATAAAGCGACTGATGCTGAATATGGTGCAATTCATGCAAATTAGAAAGAAATTTTATGCTGGTGTTACTATGGAAAAAAATTTATAACTCAAGTTAACGAAACTATAAAAAATAGAAAAATTGGTGAGAAAAAAGATAAAGAAATTATTTATGATATAACGTTATAGGATCTTTTCATTCTCTATAAAAAGAGATCTGAAGAAATTAGTTTACAACTTTCAGAAATCGCATGTAAATACTTGCAAAGGAAAACTCAAAAAGCCGTAAAAATATATAATTTATTTGATAAAAAATATTAAGTATATTATGACATATACTGTAAACTCTATTTCTGAGTTGAATAATGATAAAAATAGATAGGGAATGTATTAATTAAGTAGATTACTACCTCATCCATGATATGCAAATCTGCCTATATGCAAAAAATATTATTGCTATCTAAAAAGCTACTAGTTGATTAATAGCGAAGGCAGTAAAAAATATTATTTGATTTGTGATAATATTTAAGAACCCAGAATCCCACTTAATGAGATGTTACCACTATATTCTGAAAAAACAAGTCCAAATAGCTGAAATTGTCTTCTGAAAGTTTCGAATAAAGAAGTAACAGTAGAAGTATAGGGAATAGCATGTTATATATCATGGGCAAAATCTCAATTTGTATTATTTTTTTTGTGTATTATGCTAGAATGTCACGTGATTTTTTCAAAGCTGAGAAAAGGATATTATTACGCAATTTTGCGATAATGACATGATATTGATATGGTATTTTTTTCAGATCTAATAATACAATATATTATTTGATACAGTATTGATATAGTATTTCTTAAAAATAGTTATAATGCAATTTTTAGACTATATTAACGATTACTTCCATGTAACTTTGACTAAAATCATTCTATAGTAGTTATCTGCATGATTTTAAGTTACATCTAATATATATAGTCATTCGATATATAATGACTTATCTTTTGTGCTTCTGCCACTCTTCTCTTCATATAATTGCAAGAAGGTAGTTAAGAAAAGTATATAATACCATGTTCTCTAGAGACCCAAATCCCAAAAAAATAAAAAGCTTTTTATAATGTGGACTGATGAACAACTTCAAGTATTGATTAACAACCATAAAGAAAATAATGAAATGTTTCATAAACTAGCTGGGAATGGAAAGATAATTTTCTGGAAGAAAGTCTTCACAAAAATCAACTTTCAGTTTGGAATATCTTATAATGTTGCATATTGTAGAGAAAAGTTCAAGAGTCTCAATTGTGATTATAAAGTATATAAAAATTTTTCTGAAATCTCTAAAGTCTCAACTATACATAGCGCCTGATGCCAAACTAATTTATCTTTTCTATTTAGCGTATAGAAGCATATATTGATGGTAAAGTCAATGGAAAAAAGACTAAGAATAGCCTCAAGTATTATGAGGAATTTAAAGAACAGTTCTGAAAAATATCAGGTAAAGATTAGTTGATCAGAGGAAGAAATATTTATGAGAAGATATACTAATTCCCATAAACTTTATTTCACTATAATGACTGACTATAATCGGCTTCATGAACAAATTATTGCAAGAAGACATCAAACCTCACTATCGCTATATAAAAAAAATGAAGGTTCTACCTCACAAATACCAACACTACACTTGTAATAATAGGAATAATTATATCTAGCTATTAGTATTTTTCGCTGTAATTATTTTATATTGCTAGAAATTACCCAATACTTGTATAATGTAAATACAAATATAATAAAAATAATATCATCATTTTTGAAGGAAAATTAACTGAGAGGCACTTTGCATGAATTAGCTTGAGTACTTTTTTCCTTGCACTTTTGCCTTACTTCTATCTCTTTCTGCAAGTTCAGTGAAGTGTCAAATCTTAGGCGGATTGTAAGGGGATCATCTTCTGATCTAATGAAATCAAACATAACAAACTCACCTTTTCAAAGGTAGCTATTAATGACTATCAATGCATTTTTAACATCAATAGTATATTGGCCAATAATCTTAGCTACGTCTTAAGGTGAATTGCTTCACAAATGAATGTAGGGGCTTTGTGGTATTTTTGCATCACACTCCTAAATTTTTTGCATATTAGGTCTTATGCCTGTAAATTTTTACCTAATTATATTACTCCAGTACATAAGTACATCACACACAATTCTACACCCATACAGTACAGTGGGATATCAAAAGTCACTAGACACTTAAAAATTAGAAAATTGACAGAAATGGTTCTTTCAAATAAAACTTTTTATTTTATTAATTTAATTACTTTTAGAATAATAAGTAAAGTTATGCGCTATAACGAATTGCATATAATTTAAAGTTTTTATAGATATCTGATTAGTAGTAAAATATATATTATTTATTTAACGTGATATTTTCGTGATTTAATACAAAATTTCAGTTATAATTGAACATAAATTTTTTCAGCTATAATCATTTTATTCATTAAGTAAACTTATTTATCAAATTAAAAAATAAATTTCTGCCAAATTTCAGATTAATTGCATATAAACTTGATGAGATCGACTTGATTACAATAAAGTTATTAAAAGTCACGTGATATATCTATCTCTTTTTAAATTTAATACTACATTTATCAAATAATCTTCATGAGAATAAATGTAATTAATCTGAAATTTGGCAAAATTTTATTTTTTAATTTGACGAATAAGTTTACTTAATGAATAAAAATGATTATAGCTGAAAAATTTATGTTTAATTATAACTGAAATTTTGTATTAAAACACGAAAATATTACGTTAAATGAATAATATATATTTTACTACTAATCAGATATCTATAAAAACTTTAAATTATATGCAATTCGTTATGACGCATAACTTTACTTATTATTCCAAATGTGATTAAATTAATAAAATAAAAAGTTTTATTTGAAAGAACCATTTCCATCGATTTTTTAATTTTTAAGTGTCCAGTGACTTTTGATATCCCACTATACATATGTAAAAAAATACATATCTGAATTATTTACTAATGAAACTTTATTAATATTTATATACGTTGAATACAACAATAAAAAAAATATATCATGGCTTTCTCAAAGTCAGAATAACTTTAATATAACTTGTGGAAATCCTATTTGAATACATGGTTAATTTCTTAATTTCACTGAATTTCTTAATGCCGGCTATTTCATGCATTTGCTTGTACAGTAAATAATCATCTGCTACCCTTGCCTATGCTATCATCATTCGTAATCATATACGTGATTAGATCAAATATAGTATATATAAGGTATATTCACAGATACAACAGTAAGTTTTATAATTTATAACTTGCAATATTTTAGTAAAAATTTATTCAATTTTTAATCAATATTTAATTTCTTAGCTCTAATATCCTATTTAAGAACTTATAATAACAAATTGTACTGTAAGTTTCTAGAACTAAATTGAAATGTCTTAATTTCTTCCTTGTCTATCAATTCTAACTGGAATGATCTTGACTGTGCTTGGAATGCGAATTTCTTAAATGAAGCAAAAAACCTTATAAATCAAGAAATTTTCAATGCTGTAAAAGAAAAGACACATTTTTTTTATTTTGTAAAGGGAAGGGTAACTCCTAGTCACATCAAACACTTTGACCTGACTTAGAAGAATTACTGGATTTTATACTGGTATCTACTTCAGGCGTTCTTAATTCAGACGTCTAAACTTTGTTGTTGGTAAAGGTCTACTAATTCTGGAGAAAGAACTGATTATGCAACTCCTTTATCCTAAATAAAAAATTAGTACACTGTTAACATTATCTCTCACATAACAGGTAGATTCAAAATGATATGAGAATGGTTTACAATCATACTGGGATTGTTTAATAAAAAAATTTAAAAGGATAAGTAAATAATAGTGTAATGATTGTATATATAATTTATTAATTAAATCTTTTACTATAGGTTTCTGTGCAAGTCAAGTTAAAGGAATTTGCATATAAAATAATTTTCTATGAGAACCTCGAATTAATCCCAGAGGAATTTAATCCTCAAAGTTCATATCTTTGTAGAATCTGCTAGGAAGAAATACTTATACAATTCTAAAAACCAATCACAATATTAACTTGTGAACACATATTTCATCTAAATTGCATTGCATATGACCAATTTACTTCATGTTGTATGCTTTGTAAAGACCAATAGCAAGATAATTCCTCTGAACACTATCAGCATGATCATGACTATTTTAACGATCATGATAATATCTATGATGACTACAATTACCACGATCATGATAACCATTATAACGTTAATATTAATCACTATGAAAATAATCATAGCCATAATGATTGCGATAATAATATTTGCCTCCGCCATTCTTATTGTTAAGGTTATGTTTATGATAATAATTATTATTCACTCATAGTCAAGATGATTAAAAAATTCACAATCATAATGACTGCTATGATAATGATCACGATCTTAATGAACAAGAGAATTATGATAATGATCATGGCCATAAACAAGGATATGAAAAATTGATAGATCAGGCTGAACAAGAGGAGACAAACTCAAATTCTAATACCTATCACAGACATAAACAGGAGAATTATGATAATGATCATGGCTATGAACAAGAAGATGAAGAATTAATAGGTCCGGTTGAACAAGAGGAAACAAACCTAAATTCTAATACCTAAACTCAATCAAAAAAATACTTATCGAGATGTTCGTCAAGTCTATTGTCTTCACACAAATAGGATATATTGCAGGGTTGATACAAAAATTGTTTACGCTTATCAATAGGAAAGTAGTTAAAATTAACGATAATAATAATGCTGAGGAGAAATTTGAGGGATTGATACTATTAACTCAGTTAAATAAGAGAAAATTTCATGCTAGTATCATTATGGCAAAAGATATATGAAAAGGGTAGAAGTTATTATGAATTTTCAGTGTAGTGAAAAAACAGCTAGGAAAGTAATATATGATGATATGAAATACCTTTCAGGATTTAATAGAAACTAAAGATGGTTTCCATAATTATTTTTAAAATTTTTAACTAGTTGCAACTTAAGTTACAACATTTTGAGTTACAACTATTTATGAATTTTTATATTAAAATAAATTTACAAGGAGTTGCAACTTATCAAATTGCAACTTTTTAATTATAATATCCATCTTTAATAAAAATACTGTATGCAGTAAAACACAAGAGGTCTTAAAGAATTTATAACTATTCAAAAAGATAGAAATGACCATTTGCAATATCCTTTTAAATCCAAAAAATTGAACACATACAAATTTTCGAAACTGTTGTAAAATTGCAAATGAAAAAAATATTGATAAGTTTTCGTAATTTTACAAATATGCTAAATTTTAAATTTAAAAATATTCCTTGCGAATAGGCTAAATATATTAAAATTTTTTTGTTTAAAAAAAACTTGATAATAATAATTCTGGGAGCGATACCTCAACCAACTTATCTATCACCTCTAAAAATTTTTACACCTCTAATCATATCACTAACAAAAATGACATTGTTAATGTACATAATAATGATGATCTCGATGAATACAATGATGATGAAAACAACAAAAACAATAAAGAATAATTAAATAATGTAAGATATATTTAATTATTATAATTATTTATTTTATTTAATGTTGAATAAGTTTATGTATTTCTGATTTATTTTACCAAATCTATCTTAACATTTCAAAAATGTGATATATTATACCAGTTTTTTTGTTTAGATGGTTATTTTTATTATTTTTTTTAAAAAATACTATAACAAAATATCAATAGAGCTAATTAACGTGAAAGGACAAATTTACTTAAAGTAATATAATAATTAAATAAAGTATTATGTGGGGTGTGAGCTAGGAAAATGACCTTCTGAGATTAATTTACCATTTTGAGTAAATGATAAACAAAGCTTTTTGCTC